AAAAAAAAAAAAAAAAAGGAAGAAGTGTGCCTTCTCCTCGCTCTGAGTCAGAGAGCACCTGGATTTGGAGGCTTCACCTATTGGGGCTCCCCTCCCCGCCGATCAGTCTCCCCTCTCATCACCTGCCACACCTGTGGGTCTCTGTTGCATCCTGTGACTGCTACTGCCACATTGCAGATACAGACCCCACTCGTGTGGTGTGGCTTGATTGCTAAGATGAATCATGATTATAGTAACTCATGCTTGACCCCCTTCTCTCACCTCCACACCCTCCCCTCTGCCCCAGCTCCCCCACCCTACTCTTCCTGCCTTCTCCCCCTTCCTGGGCCCTCTGCCTACCTCTCTAAACCAGACTAACTGCCATCAAGTCAGTGCTGACTCACAGCGACCCTATCAGACAGGGCCCAATAGAACTGCACCTGGGGGTTCCAAGACTGTCACTCTTGACAGGAGTAGAAAGTGGTTTTGAATTGCTAGCCTCATGGTTAGTTAAGTAGCCCAACATGTAACCTACAACATAGCTGGGGCTCTTTATCACCACCACAGTGATCGGTAAACAGCCTGCCCCTCCAAGATGTAACTCGCCCCACCTCCACCAGATGAGAACTCGCCTGGCTCGCAGTGTGGCGTCTGTGGTAGGTGATATGTGTCCTGAGGCAAAGATCAGGTCGTCTGGTTCTCTGCAGAGCCAGGGCAGCTCACAGGTCACTGGCGGATAGCTGTTAAGTCAAAGAAGAGACTCCTGATTTTGGAGCCAGTGTACAAACTCAATGTAAAGTATCAAAAAGGAACAAAGATCTAGCAGTGAGCACTGTGGTGGCCCCTGAGAAAGGGTCACTTGGCAGGCCAAATGTCCCTCATCCTGCCTGCCCCCATGTGGGTTTCAGTAAGTCCCTGTCAGGAGCACGGCTCTGTTCACGTATGGTGGCTCCTCTTCTGTGACGCGGTCAGGAAGCCCCAGCAGAGGGCCAGCCCCGAGTAAGCCTGGGGAGCACAGGGCCGGAGGCTGCCCAGGGGCTGCCACCATGGCCTGCACTGCCAGTGACCCACCCCGTGCTCTCCTGAGGCTAAATGAGGGCCAGGAGCTAGCATGTGGCTGCCCCAGGGCAGTGCAGGGTGCTGAGTGGCCCTGCCCACCTGCCAGTCAGCCAGACATCTGACCATGCAGCCACCCGTTCCTCCTCGCTTCCTGCTCAGTGTTCAGAGAAGCCAAGGAGGCCTCTCAGCACTGGTGTCCGTTCCCCTGCCCTCTCTGAGAACCTCGCAGACAGAGGTGTGTCCCCCGCCGCCGAGGGCACTGACAGTGAATGGAAGGCACAGGCTTTGGGCCTGGGGGGACAGTTCAGAGGAGGCAATGAGAATGTTGTGGTCCAGAGACTGGTGGCCGTAGGGCCCTCCCCCAGCCGGGCTACCACCATGCCTTTCACCATCCACCAGCAGGGCACCTCCCTCCCTTGGCTCCACAATGTGGTCCCTCCCGGGAAGCTTCTCAGAGACATGCTGACGGCAGCGCTGCTGTGTCTGTGCCGTGCCCTAGACCTCCGCTCCGCAGACCTGGTGTGATGACCCCCAGAACCACCCCCACGCCAGCCAAGGGACTTGCCAGCCAAGCGCTAGTGGCAGAGTCATTCCGAGACATTGTCGAAGGGAGGGCTGCCAGGGAAGCTGTGGGCCCTGGGTCCTGGGAGAACCAGGAATGTCGGCACCAGCACCCTGTCGTGTCTCGGGGACCGAAGGTGCCGGGAGAGAAATGACCACCCTGCCTTGCTCTCCTCTCCACAGTATTCTGAAGTCCATGGAGTTTGCACCGTCCGAGGGCGCTGGGACCCAGGTACACGACCACAGTTTGCACCATGGCACCCCAGAGCTGGGAGGCCTTAAGACAGCAGCGCCACCATCCCGGGATTCCTGTGGGAACCCCCTTTCTGGGGGAGAGCGGCACACAGAAATCAACAGGAACATGAGAGCAAGTTGTCTCGAGTTCCAGAGGCAAAGAGAGACACATACCCGCTCCCCCAGCCCCGGCCCCACTCCCCCCACCCCCCAAAACCATGAAAATTCATGTTTTCTGAATAGCTAAGTCTGTTCAGACGAAATGGCGATTTGCAGGTGGTCAGAATGTGACTATGAAGCAAGTTCGAGCAGCATTGAAGGCCAACCAAAGGGGAGTGGGCCCGAGAGCTCTGAGGGTCAGGGCCAGGGTGACAGTGGTGAGGGACCTGCAGGGACCCACGCTAACTCGAGGCCACACGGGACTCCTGTTCCCACTCCCCAGAGGCAGGCCCCATCTCTGACTTCCTCTGGATTTAGAGACACAGTGGGGAATTCATTGCCTAGAAGGTCTGGATTCTGGAAGAGGGAAGAAAAATCTCTAGCGGAATGAATTTGTGCCCGAGGCAGGTGGGTGGGGTGGGGAGGCAGACCACAGAGGCAGGTGTGGGGGTCCCGTGGAGGGGGGGCTTGGGCGCCAGGTCTGGCCCTGAGTGAGCCCCCCACCTCTGCCCTGTCTAGGACGCGTCCAAGCCCCTGGAGGTGCTGCTGCTGGAGAAGAACCGCTCGCTGCAGTCCGAGAATGCCACGCTGCGCATCTCCAACAGCGACCTGAGCGGTAGGTGGCCGCGTGCACGCGTGCGCACGCGCGGTGCTGGGTTCACTTTGCAGGGCCATGGCCATGCGCTGGGCTGGTGCATGGCGGAGCCTCCCTGGCCCACGGAGCCCGACCGATGGGCGCTGGTTCCCTCCTCTCCTCACTGTGCCTCCACACCTCCACCCATCTGGATGGGCCAGACTTGGGGGAAGGAACGTGTGGCAGGGGGCCTGAGAGGTCGAGGTCGTTGGCTTTCTGGTCTCCTGGCTGTGAGTTGAGTCGGCGAGGGCAGAGGTGGGCGCCGAGGCCTCTCTCCTGGTGTGTGGGGGCTGCGTCATGTCACCCCGGCCCTTCCAGGCTCCGGGGAGCTGCTCTTCCTTTGTCGGTGTCTGGGGGGACGCGCCCCCCCAACCCCTTAGCCTTTCTCTGCTCGTCCCACCGCGGTGGCGTCACTGACTGGGCTTCTGGTTGGGGCCGTTGGTACACTGTGACGGGTCTCGGGCCGCGACGCTGTTTCGCTCTTGACAATGTGTGCGCCTGCATTCGAGCGGACTTGCTGTGGTGTGTTCGCCGCCTCAGAGCAAGTGGTGTGAGAATCGGGGGTCCCACCATGCCAGTGTTTGCTGCTCCTCAGGCGGGGGTCCTCTGGTCGTAGCTGGGACGCTGGCGGGCCCTGCGCGGGCCTCGACCAGCCAATTCTGTACCGTGTGTGTGCGCGCGCGCGAGCACCCAGGTGTGCGCGCAAGCTCGGCCGGCTCCTCCCGCCACCGTTAGGTGTCTGAACCGATGTCAAGGGGATTCTCCAGGCTGCAACGTACAAGAAAGGCGCAAACATGAAATGCATGTTGCTTGTTTTGGGGGGCCTCGTTTGGCTAACTAAAAAATTCAATCGAAAAACAAACCAACGCACCTCATTGGCCCTCGTTAAAAGCTGCACCTTTTTTTTCCCTGTTGCGGGGCACACTTTGCATTTGGGTCTTGGTGTTTTTCCCTTTGAATCCCCCATAATGCATTATGTTTGCCCTTCCTTGTAGGGTCAGCCAGGAGAAAAGGGAAAGACCAGCCTGAGAGTCGGCGCCCGGGACCTTTGCCGGCCTCCCCTCCTCCTCAGTTGCCCCGCAACACGGGGGAGCAGGCTTCCAATACTAACGGTTCACACCAGTTCTCAGCAGCGGGGTTAAATCAAGACTTTTTCAGCTCATCCCTGGCCAGCCCCAGCCTACCCCTGGCTTCGACAGGAAAATTTGCACTAAACTCTCTCCTCCAACGACAGCTCATGCAGTCCTTCTACTCCAAGGCCATGCAGGACACAGGAAGCACAAGCATGATTTTTCCAACAGGTCCTTACAGCACAAACTCCATCTCTTCCCAAAGTCCATTACAACAGAGCCCAGATGTAAATGGCCTGGCCCCGTCTCCCAGCCAGTCAGAAAGCGCTGGGAGCACCTCTGAGGGCGAGGAAATTGACACGGCCGAGATTGCCCGGCAGGTCAAAGAGCAGTTGATCAAGCACAATATCGGACAGCGCATTTTTGGACATTACGTCTTGGGACTGTCCCAAGGGTCCGTGAGCGAGATCCTGGCCCGGCCCAAGCCATGGAATAAACTGACTGTGCGCGGCAAGGAGCCGTTCCACAAGATGAAGCAGTTCCTATCCGACGAGCAGAACATCCTGGCTCTCCGCAGCATCCAAGGCAGACAGAGAGGTGAGAGGCCTGCGGGGGAGTGTGTGTGTGTGTGTGTGTGTGTGTGTGCATGCGTGCGTGCGTGCATGCATCACATCGGGTGTGTACAGCACATCAGGTGTCTTCTCGTTTCTACCAGAGCGTGGGGGTCCACAGGCAGGAGGGAACGGTGGTAGCTTTTGGAGGGCTGGCCTTTCTGTGTCCGCTGGGCACCCCAGGGAGCGCCTGGTGGATTGGAGCACACCATACCAGGGAGAGCACCTCCAGGGTGGAGCGTCGGGTGGTCAGCTTGGCCCTTGGTGCTGGCCTTACATTGGAGAGACATCCCCCCCCCCCCCCCCCCCCCCACCACTCCCCCAGCCACCCCCAGTGCTATGGCAGCAGCGGCACTGAACCGAAGGAACCCTTCCTAGGACCCAGTCCCCCGTGGGCAGAGGGCAAACCATGCCACCTTCCTCCATCTCCCCTGCCCCCACACAGGGGAGGGCGCACTGTGCTCAGCCGGTCCCTAATAGCCTCGGCCTATTAGGGGCTCATTTAGGTTTCTGAACAAACTGCCTGCCCTGAGGAGAAACCCACTGGAGTTTTTTACAAAACCCTCCCTGGCCCACCCTCCGTAAACAGATCAAAAGTTAGCCACGTCTGTAGTCTGAGGGAGCCGTTCCGCTCAGGCCCCGTGATGGGCCGCCCTCGCCCCACCAGACTCGGGCGAGGCCTCCTGGAACGAGACCCGCAAGCTCGGAGAGGGAGCAGTTCGCACCAAGCAGGCGGGGCCTTTTATGGCGATGTTCCCTGAAATTGGATGTCTCCTGATGATTAATGTGGGCTCGGTTCTGGGGGCTGGTGGGTGACGTGCCTGGAGGCAGCTCCCCTCTCCCTCCCAACCTCCCCCCCCCCCGGCCTTCTTTACATTGGTGCCAGTGGCCCCTTCTCAGGGTGGCCTGGTCTCTAAAAGCCAAGCCTCAGCCTCTGCTGCTCAGCGCAAAATGGAAGGGCCTTTCACAAGTGTCCAGTCTCTCCCCAGGCGCACAGGGCGCCCTGGAGCCCTTGCCTTAGTGACTCGGGGCTCAGGTTTCATGTCACCCAGCCCATCTCGTCACCGCCACCACCCCGTGATTGTTTTGTTCTTACCACACTTGTTTTTCAACAGAGAATCCAGGCCAGAGCCTGAACAGACTATTTCAGGAAGTTCCGAAACGAAGAAATGGGTCTGAAGGTATGTTGCAGGCAGCAGGTGTCTTTCTTTGCCGTCAGTAACCTAGGAAGCAGCATGTCCTTAGCTGTATCTATATATACAGATAAACATATATTTATATATTTTGCTTAAAACTGTGCAGTGTGATTCTGGCCTGGACCCTGATGGAAAAACAGCTAGTAAGTATAAAACAAAGCACGGGTTCTCGCACTCACGCCCCTCTCCTGCCAACCCTGGCCCTTCCCGTCCAGGTTGACAGGTGGACAGGGCGGTGAGAAGCAGCTCCCCCTCCCCCTCTCGGCCCCCCACCTTCAGCCTGAGGCCCAGCCCCCTGGAGGCACGACCGGCACTGCCTATTTTCTCAGAGGCCGGTGAAAGGACAGCAGTTGTGGCCCTGAGAGAAGTCTGGTGACTTGCTGACAGAAGCGGCTTCCGCTTCCTCGTGTTTTAAAGTCTGAATGGACATGAGAGGCCCTCCAGGGCGACACATTCCCTTGGGGCCCAGCACACCAGTCCCCCACCGTGCTCTCTGGAGCTGCGTCTTTAATGGGCCCAGTCCAGTGGGACGCTCGTTGTGAAATGGTGTCACGTGGCAGGTTCGGGATGTAGTAAGGGAGTGAAAGGTGAAACCGTTTGGGCGTCTTCCAGGCAGAACCGGGTAGTCTTGGTTTGTCCGTCCATCCGTCCGTCCTCTGCATCCGCGTGGCTCCTCTGCAGAGAGCCCTCATCTCTGGGGTCTGTTAGGCAAGGTCTCGGCCTCTGGGACCTGTCTGCAGGCTTCTCTCCTCGATCACCAGTTCTAGAAACAAACAAAGGCCTCGGCTCTTTGCGCTCCTTTCCCGGTCTCCCTGGTTTGGGATGCCAGCCTCGAAGCAGTGCAGAGTCTGGATACAGCCCCCAGCCAGAGGAGTCGATGTCAGTGTTTAAATGACTCCCAAAGAAATAGGAACTTTTCACATCTCATCTCTTTGTGAATTTTTGTTTAATCTGTATTGTGTATATTGTGGATGAAGTGATTTGTTCTCCTGGTACTAACCCCTGGGTGGGCACAGCCTGGGGAGATAAGAGGGCTCTGGCTGCCCCGCTGGGTTGTAATGAGAAGGTAGAGAAAGCAGGTAGCCTTTCCTACAGCATCAGGGCACCTGCTGTGACGCTGGGTCCGCAGCCAGCACAGGGCACAAGAGGCCACGCCTGCCGCCCGGCCACCATGGACCCCACCGTGGGCTCTTGATCAGCGCGCTGTCTTGGCGCAGCACTGGGTCAGGTCCAGAGGCTGGGTCCAACGTCATTGGTGTGGCTTGTCCCCGCAGGTAATATCACCACCCGGATCCGAGCCTCAGAGACCGGCTCCGATGAAGCAATCAAGTCCATCCTGGAACAAGCCAAAAGGGAGCTGCAGGTGCAGAAAACAGGTACCACTGCCTCGCCTTGCCTCCCCTCTCCGTCCTCACTGAAATCTGGGGTGGTCACCTGTGACGCGGTCAGCAGTGATTGACTCTTTTGTTCTGAACACTAACCAATGTCCATCTTCAAGCAAGTAGATGATTGCAAATGGGAGCGGGTCTGTTTACCATCTTTCTGACCCACAGTTAGCTTTCTTTCTAGAATGTAGTTCCCCAGCATTGGCTCAGGAATGCACACAGGGCCTGGAATCTCCTTTTCCAGAGCCACATTCATTTTAGCCCCTTAGCAGGGGGAAAAGAAAAATAACTCACTGCCATTGAGTTGATACTGACTCCTGGTGACCCTGTAGGACAGCGCAGAACTGCCCTGTGAGTTTCAGAGACAAACCAGGGGAGTAGAAAGCGCCATCTTTCTCCTGAGGAGCAGCCGGTGGTTTCAAACTGCCAACTCTGTGCGGATCGCAGCCCGATACTTAACCACTACACCACAGGTGCACCTTTTATTTTTGCCCAGGAGAGACTTTACATTATAGCAAAAGTCAAACATTCGCCCTGTGTTTCCGTTTTAAAGTCAGTAGAGGCTTGCAGTTTGGAGATGTGGATTCTAACGGACATACGAATGAAAGCCAACCTCTTGATCAAGTGCACTTGACCGAGAATGATTGGAAGCTAAGTTCCTGAACACCTGCTCTTTAGTGAGGTGGAAGGTTGTCAGGGAGGACCAGAGGTGCCTTGGTGGTTCATAGGTTATATGTTGCCCTGCAACCACAAGATGGGCAGTTCTAACCCACCAGCCGCTCTGCGGGAGAAAGATGAGGCTGTCTGCTCATGTCAAGATTGGTAGCCTTGGAGACCTTATTCAGCGTCGCACCAAGTCAGAATCGACTGTATGGCGGTGGGGTGGGTTGGGGTGGGTTTTGGAGATGGAGGATCGGAAGGTTTGGAGAGTGACTGTCGGACTCCTCCCCATGGCCCGCCTTAGCTCAGAGTCCCTGCGAGCTGGGCTTTCCAACCTGCTGCCATGGGGTCAGAGTTGAGCTGTGAACCACAGGCTGCTGGGTAGACTCGGAGCTCTGGTCACTCAGCCAGCAGCTGCATGCAGAAACCATCCCCACCCCCGAGTTTCCCTAGCTGGTCCGGAAGGCACATGCTGTCCTTCTGGGGAGAAACTGAATGCCCAGGTTTCTCCTCGGGGCTCCCCACATGGACACCTGAGTCCCTCTTGGCCGGCTGAGGGCCTTCCACTATGCCCCTGGCTGCAGGGCTACTGCCTGACCTGGTGGGGACCAGCCATGACAGCTGAGCACATGCCATCTGTCGGCCAGGCTTTCCCTGGCTCCCCACCCATGCAGGTGTCCACAGTGGGGAGCTCATGGCTCTCTGCTGAGCGCCAGGGCCTGCCTCTTCCTGCACTGCTGTAGTCCTTGGGACATCCCCATTGTTCTAATTATCACACTCAGCTCAGAGGGGAAATAATTTGCCCGAACTCATTAGGGATTGAAAACCACGTCTCCCAACCCCTGGCCCAGTGGAGAAGAGAGGCGTCTCTTGCCGTGGCCTCGTGAGAACTCATGGGTGAAGCTCTCTCAGCTAGGCCAAGGCTGAGGGTTAAGCCTGCCTCCCCCTGTGGGTGACTCCCGAAATGCATCCACACTACGTGAAGGCCGCCTTCAAGACTCTCTGGCTTGTCTGTCTCCTCCCTGAGCTCTTGTTTCTGATGTGGGGGTCATGAGGGTGGGAGCAGGAAGGCCGTCAGGTTCCCAGAAGGCACGGGAGGCTGTTGCTCACCAGCTCAAACTGTCTGCCATCGAGTCAGTGCCGACTCAGAGTGACTCCCTAGAACTGCCCCTGTGGGTTTCCGAGACTGACTCTTCACTGGAGCACAACACCACCTCTTTCTCCCTCGGGGCAGCTGGTGGTTTCAAACTGCTGGCCTTGAGGGTGAGTAGTGTAACCCACTACACTACCACTGTGACTTGAGGCACGTTGAAACCAGAGGAGCTGGCGTGGGTGGGTTCTTCGTCCAGACTCGGAGGCAAGGCATCGGAGGAGCATCCTGGCCCTGCTTCTCCCAGGGCTGCACACCACCGTCCATGTGGACGCACCAGGGCTAGGCCGGAGCATGTGCATTTTGACAAGCTCAATGGAAGAACTCTAGTCAAGTCACTGATCTGGTCAATTACCATCCCATTTGCCAGGTGGAAAGGCTGAGGCCCAGTCACGCCTGTAACTGCCTGCACCGCCCACACACACACACACACACACACACATCCCCCCAGGTGGCTAAGTGCCAGGGTGCCTGAGCTGGGGGCCATTCCACTCAGCTTCTTCTTCTATACTCTCTGAGCAAGGGCGAGGCTCACTGCTGCTGGCCACTCACATGAGCCACTCGGACGAGGGGCCCTCCTGATTCCCCCAGGATGCCTGTGTCTCTGAATGCAGCCAACGGGACTTAGGTTCCGAAGGCTTGCCAGGGAGCACAGCATTGCGGGTCACAGTCTGCGAGCATCTGAAGTGCATTAAGCGACAGGAGTCAGCCCAGGTGGCATGTCCCCACTGGCCACTCTGGCTACAAGGAGATTCAAATCCTACGTCTCTGTGTCATGGGGACCTCAGGTCACAGGAGAGGCATACCCACTTCTCTGTCAGTACTGCCGAGCCTTGCTCCGTGGTCACGGATCTCCTTGGCAAGAGTGGCACGCTGCGGGAAAGACAGCACCTTAGTTCTCCCGAGGAGCACTGATGGTGTGGTCGTTACGTGTTGGGCTGCTAACCTCGATGTCAGCAGTTTGAAACCAGTCGCTTCTTGGGAGAAAAATCCGCTTTCTGCTCCCGTGAAGAGTTACGGTCTTGGGAACTCCACAGGGGCAGTTCTACCTTGTCTTGCAGGGTCGCCTTGAGCCAGAATTGTATTTTGGGGGTTTGGTAGTTCTCCCAGTCTGTCCTTCTGTCCACTGTGTGTGGGAAGTGGGGTGAGAGGGGAGTTGGCAGGAGGAGGAGGCATGTGCAGGCCACCCCCACCTCACCATGTGTTTGCTCCGTGCAGCCGAGCCAGCCCAGCCGTCCTCTGCTGCCAGCAGCGGGAACTCAGACGATGCCATCCGCTCCATCCTGCAGCAAGCCCGCCGAGAGATGGAGGCCCAGCAGGCCGCCCTCAACCCTGCCTTAAAGCCAGAGCCACTCTCCCAGACAGACATCACCATCCTGACCCCCAAGCTACTGTCCACCTCGCCCATGTCGTCCGTGTCCAGCTACTCGCCCATAGCCATCTCCCTGAAGAAGCCCTCCGCTGCACCTGACCCCAGCAGCTCGGCCCTGCCCAACCCGTCCGCCATCAAGAAGGAGCCACAGGACGGCACCGGGCCGGAACTCGTGGTAGCTGCTGAGGCTGCCCAGGGGGTCCTGCGGCACGTGAAAACAGAGCTGGGCCGCAGCGGCATCTGGAAGGACCACTGGTGGAGCACGGTGCAGCCCGAGAGGAGGAACCCGGTGCCCGCGGAGGAGATCAAGGTGGAAGAGGCTGCCAGCAGCGGGGGGAAAGACAGAGCCAGCGGCGGCCAGGCGCGGGCCGAGCGCAGCGGTGGCGGCAGCGGCAGCAGCCAGCTGCAGGGACCTTCCTCCTCAGAGTACTGGAAGGAGTGGCCCAGTGCAGAGTCACCCTACTCGCAGAGCTCAGAGCTGAGCCTGACGGGAGCCAGCCGCAGCGAGACGCCCCAGAACAGCCCCCTGCCCTCCTCCCCCATCGTGCCCATGTCGAAGCCTTCCAAACCCTCCGTGCCCCCGCTGACCCCTGAGCAGTACGAGATTTACATGTACCAGGAGGTGGACACCATCGAGCTCACCCGGCAGGTCAAAGAGAAGCTGGCCAAGAACGGCATCTGCCAGCGGATCTTTGGGGAGAAGGTGAGGGTGCAGGGTGGGGCCAGCCGTGACCCTGGTGTGGGGCCATGCCACTCTTTGCTGAGTATTGTGCCAGCTCCCAAAGGCTCAGGGCCCAGGCCGCCCGGTGACGGTGCGAGTGTGCAGATGAGGAAACGGGCCCGGGGAAGTTAAACGTTCGGTCCCCACTATTGGTGTGCCTGAATGTAGTCCAACCTCTGCGGGCCCATCTCAGACCCAGAGATTCTGCACGAGGGAGGGTCCGGGTGCAGAGCACAGGAAGCCCTGCAGAGCGACTATGGGAGGGAGGTGGGCCTTCACAAGAGCTACTCAGAGGGGAAGGCCCCTGGGGGTATCTAGCAGAGACGTGCAACCACAGGCAGTGGGCCCCGGGCGGAGCTGCACAGAGCCAGCCAGGCTGGGCCCTGAACTCACCTGGATGGTCAGTTCCCTGGCCTTCCCCGGTCCGTGAAAACACAATACACAGAGCATCCAGGCACTTAGGCATTTTGACAACAGATACCCACCACGCCTGTGAAATTGCAAACAAGAACACAATACAGGCATACCTTCTTCTGTGGCACCTGGAATCCTTCAGAAAGTAAGCCAGTTAGGGCCCCGCCAGCACGAGCTCGCGTGGTGCCCCCTGTGGGCCATGCTGTCACTCGCACGGTGTTTCCACTTGCTCATAGTGCTCAGTCACCTGCAGGGTGGTGCCCCCGGCCTCAGTGTGCCCTGGGGAGCCTGGAAACCCACGGGGCTCGAGGTCTGTGACACTAGCTAGCTGTACCGCCGAGGTCCAGGCAAGGGGCGTCATGAGCTGTGACATAGAACACCCCCCTCCCCGGGTGCCGCCTTCCTGAGGGCTCATGGTGTGGCAGGGCCCTTGGCCCACCCTCTGAGGATGGAGTGCGAAAGCCCCTGGGGACCCTGGGGACATCTCGTCCCGTGCTGTACCAACACCACAAGAGTGTCGAGGTCGACCTGCCTGCTCATTTCTGACACTGAGCAGCGCCTTCTTTAGTCTTGGACATGATTGGCCCACCATGCAGTTCATTCTGGAGCTTGACAAGAGGGTGGTTGGGGTAGCGTCTGTCCTTGGGGGACTGCTCTATCCATATGGGCAGCCAGGTATGGGAGCAGGGACCCCAGGCACAGCCACAGTCCCCTCTGAAGCCCAGAGGGGCTCAGGGTCCGAGAGAGAGCTTTTTCTGAAGGCCATCCCGACCCAGCCCAGCACCGAGACTTACTGCCCCAGAACCCATTGCTCCTGCCTGCAAGAACCCATGGCCCCCACCACAGCCTTTCCTGGTGCCCCCAGGCCAGGAACAAGATGGTTCCACATGCCGCTCCTCAGGTTGTCAGGCCCACAGTCCTGCTGTTCTGGCAGCCGGCAGACCCTGGGCCAGAAGCCCAGCTCCCGCCCTCTCCCAGCATGCCCCTGGCTATGAGCTGATAGCTCTGTGGCTGGGGTGTGACCTCACTCACCCAAGGCACCCTCCGTGCCAGGGTGAGAGGCCGTGGTGATCTGGAGGGCGGGGGTGGGGGGGTGAGGTGTGTGTATGTGTGTGTGTGCCGCCCCAAGCCATGCCCCACCCCCACCCCCATCAGCTTGGCCTGTGCTTACAGCCAGCCCCTCAGCCCTGCTGAGACGCCGCGCCTCCAAGCGACTGGACCATTGCGCAGCACTGATGGCTGTGTCTCCCATTGCTCCCCAAGGTACTGGGCCTGTCCCAGGGCAGCGTCAGCGACATGCTGTCCCGGCCGAAGCCCGGGAGTAAACTGACCCAGAAAGGCCGAGAACCTTTCATCCGGATGCAACTCTGGCTGAACGGCGAGCTGGGCCAGGGCGTCCTGCCTGTCCAGGGCCAGCAGCAAGGGCCAGGTGAGGGCAGCCCCGCTCTGGGCTGGGCTCAAATGGGTCTGGGAAGCAGAGAATTAGGGTGGGGGAAGGTGACCTGCCATATTGTTAGCCAAAGCTGGCCTGGAGGCACAGCCAGGCCTGGGGCTCCCGCAGCCAGGGAGGCCACTGGCCACGTGTTTGGCTGGTGACTGTGCCTCTTCCTCCCCAACCTGCTGCCCTAGGCGCAGCTTCGGTTTTTAGGAGAAAGACGTGTGGGCCAAACCACACTCACTGCTGTTAGTGGACGCCGATTCACAGCGACCCTGTAGGACAGGCTAGAACTGCCCCTGTGGGTTTCTGAGCCTATTTCACGGACGTAGGAAGCCTCCGTCTTTCTCTGAGTTTTGAAACTACTGGCCTTGAGGTTAGCAGCACAACTCGGAACCACTGTGGTTTCTTGGCCACCAGGACTCCCAGCTAATCTTAGAAGCAGCCGAAAATGAGTTACCAATTAAGAAAGCGCTCTTTATATATAAATGTGGTAAGAGCCAAGTGAGTCGCTGAGGCAGAGAATCGGTGACAGGGGAGCAGGGGAAGCCTCCCTGGGGCCCGCTCCACCCCAGCAGCGTGTCTCTGTCTGCATCCCCCCTCACCCCACCCTCCAGGGAGCCCTCGCTCAGTCCTCTGGGTCTTATCCTGGGTACTAGGAATTTTGAAACCCTTGGGCTCTGTTTCCTCACTTAATTGTAACCTTTCTCCCATTCAGTGATCCAGTCCGTGGTGTCACTACAGGACCCCCTCCTGCAGGGCAGCGTGAGCTCAGGTAATTCGCACTTGCTACCGGACAGGCCTTGCCTGTTCCCCTCCATCAGGCCTGAGCTGGGTCACTGAGGGCAGAAAGGGGCCACTCTCACTTGCCCGTTGGTCTGGTTCAGCGTTGGACTTGGGGCTGGCAGGGCGGGAGAGGGGCCTGAGTCAGAGACAAAACTGCCCGGATGCAGACTTTGGTCTAGTGGGTGAGTGGAGTGCAAGGGACAGGCCTGCATCACTCCCCCAGTGGGACCACCAGAGGAGTCGCCCCCATCTGGAAGACCCCCAGGTAGCCCTGGGCAAGGAAGGTGGGGAGTCTTGGACCTGAGGGAGAGGACAGGAATAGCCGCTGAGGGGGGTGGTCAAGGACTTCCTGAGGTTTGACTTGAGGGTGGAGCTGGCTCCCCGGCCGGGTGGGTATAAAAACCCCGCCGCTCCCCGAGCGAAGGCTGAGTGGCACACGTACCTCTTCCGGCCGGCTTGAGGTGACCTCACTTGGCACCTGTCATCAGTGGCCCATGTCCATCTGTCCCGGAACACCCCTTTGTCCTCCTTCCCACCCCTTGGAGACTGAGCTCTCCGGCCGGCACCTCACTGCTGTGCTCCTCCCCTGCTGTCTCTGAACTGCTGGTTAGTCTCCGTGTCCCATAGTGCAATGAGCACACAGAGACAAGTGAGGCTCACCTGGGCGGCCACGACTGAAGCATGGTCCCCAGCCCACTCGAGGGACTGGGTGTTTCAGGTGTTCTTCTCGTGAGTTTGACCAGAATGGGAGGCTGACCTTTTACCTCGAGTCAGCCTGGCTCACCGGAGCCTTTGGTTCCTTGGCGGGAACTAAATGGGGTTGTTGTGCATCTGAAGCTGGGCTACCAGGCATGCTGCCTGCCCCCTGCGGTGCTGGGCTGCCCGGTTTCCTTGGCATGCGCCCGCTGTCCCTGGGCTACACACATCCCCACTTAGGTGCAGCATCTACTTGCCCCTGAAGCGCAGGACTTGAAACCAGTTTGAAGCAGTTCTGCCGTGGCCAACAGGGCCCACCAGAAGCAGACCAGAGTGTACAATTGGGGTGATCCTCGGTGGTCACTGGAAGGGGGAGATGCAGGGCGGCGCCCGGACAACGGAAGTCATAGCTGAAGTGACACAGGGGCGTGAGATGGGTCAGTTGGTAGAACTGGGGGACCCTCCCTCTTGGAGTAGGGTGTGCTGTGTGTCTATAAACTGGCGCTCTCCGCTCTCCGTGAAAGGCTGGAAGTCAGCCTGAGTCACAACAAATTCTTCCTCATGGTCAGCCTTGCTTGCTGCGCGCGCACGCGGCTATTACGTCCCTGAAAGAGCTGCATGCTTTTGCTCGCACTGAAGTCAGGTTCAGGAAGACACACCCCCACCCACCCCCAGTAGCTGCTCCTGCTGGCCCTTAAAGGCACAGGACCAGATCCCAGTACCTGAGAACCACCTTCACCAGCATGGGCTCATGTTCAGAACACCGCAGGGAAAATAGGAGTGTGGTTGTTTGTGTGACTGTGACATTGAACCTGCCTCCTAATTAGACAAAAGCTGCAGGCTCATGTGCTTTCACACAGGGCACGCACACCTTAAGCTCTGGGAGCAGGTGCTACCCCGTTCAAGGCAGGGCTGAACTAAAAGAACTTTCAGTCCAAACCCCTGTTCTTACCTATAACAGGGCGTTGCCAGTCCGTGCAGAAGAGTTTTTTGAGAAGAGTAACCGCTCACCCCCACTGCCCTGGGCCTACGTACAAGGCTGCCATGACCGGCCTAGGACCCAGCCTCCTGGGCTCCTAAAACCCAAACCCAAGCCAGTTAGTTGGGGCCAAGCCCCTCTCTGACTCACCGCACCCCCTCAGAGGACTATAAATACTATTTTGTTAAAATAAAAGTAATTTGACACCTTCAATCATTGGCAGGTGGGGAGCAGGAGGCAGCCCCGGGCCTCTGGGTAAAAGGGAGCATGGTAACTTCCACTGGTTTTGTGACGAGGGGCAGGCAGGCTCTCTGTGGCCCGAGCAGGGAGAGGTAGCTGACTGCCGTCCCCAAGACCCCCAGTGACTTAGCAGTGGAGGAGCCACCTGAGAAACCACCATCAGGATGACTTTGAAGAAAAACAAAGAGCCCTTTCCTAGGTCCTGGGAAGTGTTTGAAAGCGCGTGTCATGAAATGATGTTTCTCCAGGGCCGGGGAGGCTCAAGTCCTGCGGGCTTCCAGTGTTGAAGGGCAAGGTCATCACCTTGAGGTCAGGCGGTGGATGGGAGCTTCGCTCCTTTGCGACTTCTTTGCTATCACTGTCATGCTTTCCAGAGTGTCACGGAAAACAAACGGTCGCCTTTGTGCTTGGGAGACTAAAGGTAGAAAAGCAGTTATCCTGTGGTGGTCCCTGTTGAAGAGCCACGGGGATGGACAGCTGAAGAGGGAGGCTCCAGCACCTTCCTCGAGAGCTGAAAATAGTATCTGCCGCGTCTCCAGGGAAGGGTTCAGGATTGTTCCCCATGCCAGCAGGGGCTCCCTCAGGATTCTGAGCCTGTGCCCTCGCCATGGCTACAGTGGAATCCCTCCGTGAGCCCCGACTCTGAGAGACCAGGGCTGTCTGTGCACAGCGATAAGCCTGTCAGGTCGAAGCCCACCCCTGGCAGCACAGTGGGGTGGGGACAGACAGCTGTGGGAAGGTCGTTCCAACACCCCCACCCCCAACCCGGGTCCGTCTGTGACAAAGGGACGAAGCCCTTCCTCCTGAAGAGCGGGTAGGTACTTGTGGCACTGAGAACCTGGCCCCCAAACTGGCTCGGTGGAGCCCTTCGCCTCCTGTGCCCACCCCGCCCGCCGCAGCCCTGCAGCCGGAGTGGCGCTCTCAGAGGCAAAACCGTGTGGGCTCCAGTGCGACGAACGGTGCTCGGTTACCATGGTGATGAGGGACCACGGAAGTGGGGTGGGCTCACTCCCTTCTCCTCCCTGAGGAATCCCTGTTTGCCTCTGTCCCCCCAACTCCATGGGCCCTTAGCATCCCTCTCCCTCCCTAAGGACTCACAGGACAGAGCAGATCTGCCCCACAGGGTTTCCCAGGCAGCAAATCTTCCCCGCCCTTCATTGTACCACTGGATTCCGGTTCCGTAATAACAGTCCCCACTGTGCCCTCACGTTTATCAGCCTGGTAGCCGGGACCATTTCTGGACGTCCTTTGGATGGGCTGAGTGTTGAGGCAGTGGCCCAAGGCATGAAGGGGCATTGGTGCCCTTCCACCGCCAATGTCATCAGTGACCTGTGGCTTTTGGAGCACCTGAGCACCGTGGAGCCCTAGATGAAGGGTCATACCAACTAAGGGTGCCCTGCCAGCTATGAGCAGCCTTTGAAAACTAACGTGTTCCAAGGACAGAATTCCCGCTGCCCCAACACGTTTCCCCGGAGCCTCGCTTCCTGTGCACTTGGCCCTTGAACAGCACAGGGTTTGTATGTTGTTGGCCCAGGTAGGTCACAGGGTTACTGGAGAGATGATTGGTGTCACAGAGCATTAAGCAGATACTCTAAAGCCAAACTCCCTGCCAGCAACTTGATGCTGACCCACAGCAGTCCTGTCAGGACAGAACTGCCCCTGCGGGTGTCCAAGGCTGTAACACTCTGCCCTGAGGAGAGGCTGGTGGGCTCAAACCATTGACCTTCTCAGTTAGCAGCCCAGCTCATCACCTGCCATGCCACCAGGGCTCCTGGACTACGAGGACCACAGGGAGAACACTGGGTGCAAGTAGTGAGTCAGTGCCGGCCATCCACGGGTCGACTGTAAATTATACACGAGAGGTCAGTGCCCGTAACTCTCCCGTCGTCCAAGGGCCAACTGTGGACATTGGTGGGCAGGTGCTTTTGTGTGGGCCCTTTCACAGTCCCTGGTGTTTGATGGGAGACCACGAAGATGTCACGTAGCTCTACTTGGGATTGTCTTGGGAAGACTTTAGTCAGAGGTAAAGCTGTCCGTGTCCCTGAGAGAGTCTCTCCCGGCCTCCCTGTGTTTGCTTTCCACTCTGCATCCCATCCATCATCCCTGACCTCACACAGTGTAGCAGGGGCCGCCGGGCCCAGGGGCGGAGGGAAGCACTCAGGGAAGGAAGGGAGAGGGGCCCAAGAGGTCTTGCTTTTGCAGGACATAGCCTCCAGCGGTCGCTCGTGGTCAGCAATGTTGTGATAGAGTGAACACACTTGAGCTATAGATAAAGGTGTGTGTATAGATATAAATTCTCAAACCATTGGATTTTGCTTATGTTATTCCCAAAACTCATTTCCAATTCACAATGACTTGGGATCGTTCATCCTTGGCCCCCAGGGGAGGAGAGAGGCAGGAAAGAGCGAGGAACTGAGCTTAGCAGGTTGCTGTTGATTAGTCATGTGAGCCCGTGAGCGATTCCTGACCAGAGCTAGCAGTTCCTGTGCACTGTTGTAAGCCATGTGAGCAGAAGAAAGGCATGCTCCCAACAGGCAAGTCATGAAGTGGCTGGCTCTCTCCCAGCGCGTCCGCCAGGGACAGCCAGTGAGTTCTTGGTCACCTCTGCCACAGAGATTTAGCCGGCCAGCAGCATGCACAGCTGCCTCGTAGAGAAGACAGCTGCTGGGGCTGTCCATCTGTCTGTTTCTCACGTGGGTGGTCTCCATGCTGCCACCACCCTGACGCGATAACTTCAGGACTGTGTGCTGTGGCCTCATGAAGCCAGAGCCCCCCGCCACAGCACCTGGGGTGGGGTCAGGGCCCAGCAATGCTCTTGTGAACACGTGCCAGGCTCCGCTCATGCCCACCAGAGGGGGGGACGTGTGTACAGGCTCTAGTGCTTTGAACCCTGCCACAGGGGTGGGCCCATGTTCCTGAGCAAGCAGTCATTTTGATGACGGGGAGGGAAAAGGCGGAAATAAAATCTAGCCTAAGGTACCACGTGAGAAAGGGCTCTGTCACGGAATCTTCTGAGGCTGCAGCTGGCACCTCTCTGCCTGCTCCCAAGTTATCCAAATGCCCCATCCTGACTT